TGTATTTATTTACACCTGTTAACAAGTTGAATGGTGGTTGCTGTGTGGGACACCTCAAAAAACAGCCTCCACCAGAGGCCGGTGAGCACTGGGCTCCTCCAGGAAAGAAGGAGTGTTTAACATGGCAGAGACCTTGAAGGAGCGCTTGTGACTAAATATAAGTGAACCCTATAAGGCTCCTAAGCCAAGGGACGCCAACTAGCTCATGCTAGCTTGACCAGCATCCTAAAGAGACAGGAATTCTGAGGACTGAGTCGTACTAATTCTGCAAGCATGTGCCCAGAACCATGCCCCAGTCACCACACCAGCTGCAGTTACTCGGCTGATATTTTCAAGTCATAGGATTCCTTCCCATGAAAAGCACCAGATTCATTTCCTTCAGAGCTGGGAAGCTTCTTCAGCACTGAGGCTTCAGAATGTGGCCATTTTAGACACACAATGGGCAGAATGAACCACCACACAACGTTTCCAAATTTTTCTGTGTGTTTAGCTTACCGTAACCGTGGGCTTACACGCTCACATGTACTCTAGTAGCTGAACACCCTTTTGTTACTTACATCTTCCTGCTGGAGCACCAGGAAGTCATCCTCCTTTGTCACCAGTTTTAAAGTGAGAAATCATTTCTTAAAGCACATACACAATCTATCATGGCAAGAGTCAAAGCCAAACCTGGATATTTCCTCTCACCTGTTCTCGTGGTTTTTCTGGAAGCTCTGCCAACATATTCCCATTCTCCGGACATTCGTTTTCAAACCTACAGTGCATGGAGCCACAGAGATTCAGGTGAAGGAGCTACACATCTAGGTAAAGTCTCTGTCCTGCATATAGCCACGCGCTAAGGAACAAACGAGGCTTTGTTCAAAATATTACCTTACGTAGAAATAAATGGAATTGGGAAAATGGTTTTGAGCTACAAACTTCTGTAAAAGAGTCACTACCACAAAGCTGTGTTTTAGAACGATGATCACACTAGCTTCTCAACCAGTCTGGAGGAGAGACACAGCTTAGAAAGGCAATACAAGTATTATGTCAGATCTTGGTGATCAAGTCTTTTTTATACAATGAAAATTTTGGTGCCTCGGGGAGGTGGCCTGATTTGAATTTAGATGCTGCCTACTTTAAGATCTGAAGTCAATCAGCCTCTGACACCTATGTTTGAGGTGTCACAGCGCTGAACTAAAGTTCTCCTTCCAATATCCATTTTTTAATCTTTCATGAGGTACTAGAACCACCTCAGTTGATCTCTATTTGAATAGTATTTCTTTTTGGAGAAATTTTCTGGCCTCCATTCCATATCAAATACTCCCTACCTAGGAGTCTAGTCAATAAAAATGCCCTTTCAAACTGTACATACAGACAAAAGCTGTTGTATAATAATCTAAAAGTGGATCCATCAAGAATGTGTTCCAATTAAAAACAAGTCACCCAACAGCATGTTCTCTGAGACAATTCAGAGCAGTATGAACAGCTGGAATTAAGTGTGGAAAAGCCATACCATGCAAGTACTGATCCAAAGAACATAATTATACTGATCATTAAAATCTTAGGGATCTCAAAGGAATCACTGAGGCAAAAAGTATGACTAACAATAGAGAATGCTTCTAAATGACAAAGAAGTCTGCATAATTTAAAATTAGGTCGAGGAGTCCATAACTGTGTGTCAGGATACAGCCTCAAGACATATAAAGCAAAACATGATAGAGCAAAGGAAAAAAATAAAGAACAATAAATGAGGGGGCTGGAGAGATGGCTCAGCGGTTAAGAACACTGGTTGTTCTTGCAGAAGACCCGGGTTCAAATCCCAGCACCCACATGGCAGCTAACAACTGTCCATAACTCCAGTTCCAGGGGATCTAACAGCCTCTTCTGTCCTCCGCAGGCACTGCACGATGTGGGTACACTTGCTTACATGCAGGCAATACATGCATACACATAAAATAAAAATAAAATAAAATCTTAAAAAAAAAAAAACAATAAATGAATCCTCAGTGGGTGACTCCAACTTCTCTCTTAAACTATTAAGCAGTTTTAATGAACATCTATACTGTGGGAAGGAACGAGCTACAAAGACCCAACATGTTATGAATCACATACAAGATCATCACTTAGATCCAAATACATATATTCAGTTACGTAGTTTTATGCAGTGAATAGAGATTAAACTGTAGTGAATAGAGATTCATGCCCAGTCAAAAAGATTCCAAAAACATTTATATCTTACAGCTGTCACAGTGATTTACAGAGTAAGAGAAAAGAAGGAGAGAGTAGAGACAGCAAGAACGAAACATAGGAATGTCTCCTGTGGCCTGGCATTTTGGTCTGCTGGGAGTGCCCTAATTAGACACCACCGACAGTGTCTTAAGTAACAGAAACTTGCTGGTCACAGTTCAGGAGGCTGGAAGGTCAAGACCAAGGCATCTGTGGGGATGGCTTCCTCTGACCTCCTTGGCTGCCAAGCCCTTTCTCCACATCAGTTCTCCTCAGTGCACTGGCCCCCTGGCATCTCTGTGTGCTAATCTCTTCTTATCATCATGACACCAGCCATGTTAGGGCCCAATCTAATGCCTCAACTTAACATAACTGCGCTTTAAAGGCTCTCTTTAAATATATACTCCAAGGTACTAGGGCTTAGGAATTCAAAGTGTGCTATCACAAGGGCCTTCAAGTCAGCAGTGGACCTATGCATCTTGTTTTGCATCTTGAGCTGTGAATATATTCTGTTTTAAAATAAAAAGAAACCAGGGGTGGGGAAATGCCTCAGTAAACTCCCGAGTTCATAACTGCGCTTTAAAGGCTCTCTTTAAATATATACTCCAAGGTACTAGGGCTTAGGAATTCAAAGTGTGCTATCACAAGGGCCTTCAAGTCAGCAGTGGACCTATGCATCTTGTTTTGCATCTTGAGCTGTGAATATATTCTGTTTTAAAATAAAAAGAAGCCAGGGGTGGGGAAATGCCTCAGTAAACTCCCGAGTTCAGTCCTCAGAACATAGAAGGGGAAGAAAAAAAAAAAAAAAAAAAAACTATGGGGGGATGTCAGGGGGCCCCCGTAATATCTATTTTCCCCTTATATATTGGCAAAATAATCCTTCATTTTTA